GCGCTGCCCGCGGGCAGTAATGCCGCATCTGCTCCTGCATCGCACCCGAGCCCTCCTGGTTTCCAGCCCAGGCTGCACGAGTAAACCCAGGGAGACGGAAATCTGAAACGGTGGCCATGAGGGAGCTGGGTCAGGAGCAGCCCCGGCCCTGCGCCTGCCTCCCCCCAGGGCTGGGCTGGGCTGGGCTGAGCCTGGCTGGGAGCAGGCTGACAGTCAGCCCGGCTTGCAAGCTAGCAAGACAACCAAGGCATGAAAGCCCTGGGGAGGTGTAGGGGAAGGTAGTCCTGCATTGTACCCAAGCGCTGCAATACGAGCGGGGAAAGCCTTGTCTTTGTGATGGGGGCGTAGCGCTCAGCTAGCCAGAAACGGTGCTGGAAAGCTTTGCCATTGATGGCCAGCCGCTGCCGGTTAACCTCTCGGCTCTCCTTCAAAGCCCCTCATCCCCCAAAGCTTGCCCGGGTGTTGCAGGGCCCACCGGTGCTGTACGCACCGTGGCACGGGGATTGCCCTTGGCGCCTGCGGTCCCCATCCGGGCTAGGACCTGGTATCCTTGGAGCGGGTGTGCCTGTGCCGCTGCCTCTGGGTCTTTTCCATACCTGGAGCTGAGGGAATTCCTGATGATGTGCTTTACAAATCCCGATTCCTGATGAATGACAGCTCAACATACATGTTGAAATTTTGTGTGTCTGTGTGTCTGCTTGCATGCAGGTGTGGCTGCGGTGGTTGTATTATCACCCTGGGTCTCAGTCGGCCATTTCTAGGACTCAGATTTTGGTTCTGTAGTGTGCCATTGCGGGTAAGCAGACTGGGGGGTCAGCAGGCTGGGCTGATCCTAACAGATGCTCTTGGTGGTGTTTGTGGCAGCTTGGGCTGGCCGTGTCCCTCCTCTTCTCTTACCTGGGAGAGGGTTTGTGCGAGGAAACGGAGGAGGTCTGGGCCCAGGCTGTGCGAGTCCGGCTGTAGCAGGGTATGGGTCCGGGAGTGTTTCTGAGGATCCCCGGGACAGCCTGATTTTAATAAACGTGTAAAAATGCCTGTTGCACAGGTTGTGAAGATGTGTGCTTCTAGAGCAGAGTGTTTCAGTGCCTAAATGCCGATTTATTGATTACTGCTTCACTGCAGGCTTATTTAACAGCCTTTGGTTGTGGCCTCTTTCTGTGCCTCCCGCAGCCTTTTTAAAATGAAACGTGGAAGGGTAGTGCCTGCCAGCGCAGAGGTGGGCGCAGTGCCGCAGGGCCCGGCCGGCGCCGCGCTCCCATCCCAGCAGCAGTCCGGGATGGACCGCCAGAGGCTTGTGGTCCTGAAGGGTTAATCAGGAATAACTCGGCCAGGTCTGGGAATGCCAGCTGGAGACCCAGAGGTGCCAAAGACCCAGAGGTGCTGGAGACCAAGAGGTGCTTAGAGGGTTTTTTGCTCAGCCGCTTCACCTTGCTGCATGCCGCTGGGCTGACAGGGAGGCTCTCCAGACTTGGTGTTTGCGAAGCTCTCGAGGCGTTCCTGGGTTCTCTGGGAGCGAAAGCACGACAGTTATGCTGCGCATTTAGAGACACGGCTCTTAGGAAAGCTGCCTTGGGAGCGAGTAGCCAGCCTGTGCCGCCCTGCCCCATGGAAAGATACCTCAACTGACATCAAAGGAGCCAGCAAACGATAGGCATCTTCTAATTGCTGCCTCTCCCTGCCTTCTGACTCGGTACTGCAGGTTGTCATTCGCGGTCTCGGGATCGTTATCTTTGCATCTGCGAGCAGCACAACGTCACTGGGCAGCAGCAGTCCTACCTCCCGGATCTGTATTAGCCAGATAAGGTTGCATGCGGTGACATTTAAAAACCTGAATAGTGTCCCGCTGTTGAACTAAAATGAAATGGCAGTTCAAGATCTCATTTGGAGAGAAGTGGCCTTCTGCAGTCCGCAGCCCGCAGCTGGAGTGTGCGGTTCCCTTGTGAGGGTGCCCCAGCAGAGGGGTGGTGGGGATGTGGTGCACGGGGACCCGCCTGGGCTGGGAGGTGGCTGCCGGGCCATGGCGGCACGGGGAAGCCCCGTCCTCTCCTCCCGAAGGACATGGCTGGTCCTGAGCTCCAGTCCCTCGCCGCCTCCTGAGTCCCAGCGTGGTCCAGCACTGGTGCCTTGTGATTCACTGGTGCTTTTGGGGCCAAAGACGACATTTAGAGGGAATGTTTCTGAATAACCCTGTCAACAGGAATTCACATAAAACAATTAAAGCAACCACAGCCATGTTGCCTTGGTTTGCTCATGTCTGACTCCTCCTGAGCCCGAGCCCTCTGCGGTCCCTCACGTTTGCTTTCTCTTTCTCCGCAGAATGCGATGAACTTGCCGCCTGACAAAGCCCGGCTGCTGCGGCAGTACGACAACGAGAAGAAGTGGGAGCTCATCTGTGACCAGGTAAGGGCGGCCGGGAGGGCTTTTGGCAGGCATCCCTTTGAGAGCACAGACTGGGTTTCGTCAGCGATGTCGCTGGGCTTAGAAAGGGACCTTGCAGAGGACACGTGTTTGAACCGATTCAAACACTCATTTCTTTGGCCTTATGCACCTTTATTGGTAACAACTCAGAACAATAATTCCCCTTTTTGCCGCAGAGCAGTATTTCTCTCCCCTCTGATGTTCCCATCACCCCGTGCCTGTTTCCTCTGGGCGGTGAATGCTGCTTATTTTACCCAGCACAGACTCGAAGAGACTGGCCTTCAGTCACCTCTTGGCGAGCGCTTTGAGTTTGGTCCGTCTTGACCTATGTAACACGAACGAATGGTCTCGATCCAGTGGGTATTTGGCTGTCCGCCTCACGAGCCGTTGTCACGGTTGACGGTAGCCGTCGCCTTCAGGGAGGTGCGATGGTGATGCGGCCTGAACTCCTCTCCGCCTCCAGAGGCTGAACAGCAACCTTGGATTAAGCAGCACCATATGCTGAGGCATCTTTTGTGTATGAGCTCTGCCGTGGCGTGCAGACTTGGCAGCAATGTCGAACAATTAACAGGTTGGCTCTGCCTTGACAAATGAACAGAAACTGTATAATAATACAATAGAGAAAGCAAAGCATGCAGAAGGTAGGATGTGCATTTGTGACCCAACAGCAAAATCAGGCTCTGCCATAAACTTCAAAAGTAATCGCTAATGAAAATAATTGATCCAGGACTGAGAAAGTAGGATGTTCCCATGAAATGTAAACACAGCGGTACCAGGATGAGAGTTTGGCAGAAGGTACAGTCATGCTGTGAGGTCAGGAACATTTTAATAAATAGATTTGTGGGACATTTCCTATTTAGCTATTACAGTGGCAGTGCCGCTGATAAAATCCAACTACCTTAAAGTAAAGCTGAATAAAAAACTACTTGCTTTTTTCCATGAGTTTGCTGTGCAGAAAACCTAAAGCATTGAGCTATTTAAAGTTTCAGTTTAGTGAGGCACTGAACAAATTGCTTAATCTAGTGTAAGTGATTTGTTTCATGGATGTTTGCTTAGAGCGTGCACGCTCCGAGCCCGCACAGGGCAGCGTGTGCTTTGTGCTGGAGCCTGCGTGCTGTCTTTGCACTGAGCTGGCAGCGGGGCAGGCAGAAGCAGTTAGATCACAGCCTCGACGTGCAAACTCCCACCTCGGAGCGGGATCCACCCTTTGCAACGTGCAGCTGCTGCTGATTCACTCCACTCTACAGCAAGATAGGAGGGATGAGCAGATGGAAACGCAGCAAAGGAAATTTGCAATCTGGAGTAATCACGTATCTTAATAGCTCCTTGCACAACACCGAGTCCACCCCCGGGTTGGGATGATTCTGCTTCCCATCGCTTGGAGAGGGTGGGCAGAGAGGCAGCGCAGGACTGTTGTAAGCAGCACTGCGGAGCCCAACGCTGCGAGGATCCCAAAGGGGACGGGGGGGTGACGGCGTGCCAGGGTCCGGCCATCCGAGGGGAGATGCTTGGGCAGTACGGGGCTGCGTGTCGGTGATCTGTCGCAGCGCCCTGGCATCCCCCGTGGGTGCTTGCCAGCCGCTGTAATTAGAGCAGCGTGAAGCAGGTGTCTGTAAAAGCACCATAATACAGCATATGGGGTGTGAAATATTTATATCTGTCCACATAATTACGGTGCGTGGCTAAAAGTACTTCCAGGAATAGATTTTGTACAGAATGTATGTTTTTAGTGCGGATGCAAATTTTGACAGCTATCTTCTGTTGGTATCACCTATTACATCCTTTTCACCCATTTTTGCTTAGTGAAGGACTGAGGATGTAAATTAATGTAACGGCTTGAGGAGATTAACCCATACCCTCCTTTGCTAGTGTTCAACTTATGTCTGAAAGGAAAAAGGGTCCAGAGGTTGCTCTTAAATATTTTCTTAATAGTCTGTAAGGGAGATCCTGGTCATTTGTCTGTGAAATATTTTGAGAATATTAGGGGAGGGAGTTCGGCTCTCAGAAGGAGCTCTCACTTTTGCAGAAGTGAGATTAACAAAAGTGGGGAGCTACCAGTCTCATGATGGTGATGATAATGATGATAATGATGCTAGTGATAATAGTGGTGGTAACAACAACAACAGTAATAATAATAATAATAGCAATCTGCCATGAATAGGATTGTGCCTATTCTAGTGAGCCGTGGTAAGGGTTGCTGGGCTGGTTGTGGGGGACTCATCCCGTGTGGTATTTTCTGTTCCTTTGTCTATAAACCTTGCAAGCCATCTCAGCATTGCTGCTGCCGTCCTGAAAGCTTGCTCCCTACCTCTCTGGCTTAGCATACAAGGAGGAGAAAAAGAGCGAAGCCAGTATTCCTGTTGCCCGTCCTGGAGAGGGCCAAGCGGTGGGTCGGCTGGGAGGTGAGCGTCGGGAAGGATCCAGGCAGGGAAGAGGATGCAATTCCCTGGCATGGCGAGCCACCCTTTTGGTGTACTCTACGCCTCTTTATCGAGCTGCGTGCCATGAGGGGGCACAGATGTTGAGGGAAGGGGTTGGGGACATCTTACAAAGTTCTTCGTTGCCCTCTAATGGCAAATTGTGGAAGGGGCATCACCGTGTCCTCACCTTTGGGACACTGGAGGTGTCCGTGGGGAATAACGAATTAAGAGACCTAAGATGAAAGTCGTGCGATTTGCATCCAAAATATCCTCCCTGAGATATTTGTAGAACTCTCTCCCTTTCCTCGTGAAACTCCTGATGAAGGCAGGTGCCGGCTGTCTCGGAGGCTGGTGGCCAGCGTGAAGCTCCCCGGGGTGGCGGTGGGTTTCTCCAGCAGCCTCCCAGGTGGGGGTCCTGTGCCACCCCTCAGCTTTGCTGCCGGGGGACTTGGGCCCCTCCATGCCTGCGTCAGGGGGAATTACACCTCAAAGAAGGTGCATTGGCGGGGTGCCACGTTCCACTTTAGGGTTTATTTGTGACTAAGCAGCACGCAGGTATGGAGCCTGTTGGAAACACGGCCCCCGGTGAGTAGGTTGTGCCGCACCAGTCCCCGAGTCCTCCAGCTCTCTGGGTGACACCCCGGCTCTGCCGAAGAGGAGGGCGACCTGGGCTCACTGCCTGGCGGAGCATCGTGGTGGAGGGGGAGCCCGAGCACAGAAATCTGGTGTTGGGAGATTAGGCTATCAAAAATCAGCAGCATTCAAGATCATCTGGAGGAGGATAACATCTGAAACCACAGAGGGACCCTCGGACGTGTGTTCGTTTACACTTAGGTTCAACAAGTGTTGACTGTGGTGGTTAGATCCTTCTCTAAACAAGGCAAAAATGTTAATCCTAAGCTCTCTTATATTGCACAAAAGGTTGGTGCACACTAGCGTGCACTACGCACCTGCACGCCCTTTAAACCCGGCTTGTTTCTGCACCCCTTCCTCCTCTGCCACTGTTCATCAAGCTCTGCAAAGGGAAGATGGCATGCAGCCTTCCCCTCCATAAACCAGGCCTGCGGAGAGGCAGGTTCTTGATATTATTTTTATTTTTGGTTTTTTTGTGAGATTGTGCACTATGAGCTGGTTGCGAGTGTAACCGCACAGAGCCGCGGTGGTCCGTGCCTGCCATTTCAAAGTGCAGAGCGCCGGGGAGCGCTGACAAATGTCTCGGTGTCCTTTGGATTCGGGCTGGGAGTGACTTTGAAGGCAGGCCGGGCAGCGGGGTGGTGCGGGCAGCCCTCCCGCCTGCTGCCCGTGGGTCTGGGGCGGGTGGCTGACGGAGAAGGGGCAGGCGGTGGGACTGCGCGAGGATGGGGGCTCGCGGATGCCGTGCTGTTCGCTGTTTGACACAAATACCTCGGGTGAGCCCCAAACCTCTCCTCAGAAATGCGATGAAGGGACGGTGGTTGAAAAGCGGCCCCTCGCGCTGTGTGTTACCGTATGGTGCCATTAACCCTTTCGCAGCAGAGATCGGGGTTTTTTTGGCAACATTCAACCAAGCGTTTTCCGTATCTCTGCAGGAGCCCTTTACAGCTCTGAGAAGCTTCGCATGAAAAAAATGGTTTCCATGTCATTGAATCTCCCCTGTTGTGGGTAAAACACAGGCTAGAAAATCCAGTGTTTTAGTGAACTCAGGAGCAGTTGGACGGTAGAGACGCTTCATTTATCCGACTGGCTGGCCCTGTGAGGGGCGGCTCACTGAAGATCGGACAGCGAGCGGTGAAGCAGTTGGAGGTTCCCGCACGGGGCACGAGGGGTCTACGGCTCTCCCGCCTCTTGGCCAGGTCCCTTGCAGAAGCGCTGGTTTTGCAGAAAATTCATAGTGGTTGCAAATGGATCCCTCTGCCCCCTCATTAGTGCAGAGATGAACGGCTGCTGTCGTTTCATTCCACAATAAGACATATAAAGTGACATACTGTCCTGCCGGCGGGCTGGCTGGATTGCTGGAGCCAGGACTGAGCTGCCCTCCGGGTCTGTGCGGGATGAGGGACGGGTGGTGGAAACGTGCACCGCGCTTACGACGTGTTTGTGCCTCAGGAGCGAGAAGACGCTGGTCTCCAGCCCTGCTTGTCCACCTCCTTTCACCAGCGTTCACCATCCACGTGCTTTATGCACTCCTGGCAGTTACTGGGGTTTCTGACGAGCCTGGATACCCACTCGGATGCACCGTGTGTTCACCTAACGTATATAAATCCTAAGAACGGAACAAGGTAGTGAGGGTAATAGTAGTAGTAATAATAATAATAATAATAACAACAACAATAACAATAATAACAATACAACAACATATGTCAGTAATGCAGAAAATGTCCTGAATGTTTTTGGAAGCAAAAGATCTCTGGAAAAGCCACAATTTCCTGGTTACGGAATTAATACATTTTCCAGATTTGGGTGAACAAGAGATGTGTTGAGTTTTTTGTAGGATCACATGGCAGAGGAAATGCAGAAATCCGGTAGTTTCTCTTTGCTGCTGAAGTAAGGCCCCCTCAGCCCCCTTTTTATTTGTATCCATCAGAAAAGAAAGCGCCAATTCTGGAGACTGGGGATAAAGGAGCACAGGAGCGGTGTTGTGCTCCCTCTTCCAAGCTTTTTCCCTGAATTCTCACCATTTATTACCCTAAAGGGAGGTGCTGGGGACCACGGTCATCTCGCTGCTCTCTGGTCTGGTGCCACTGCCGCTGGCTCCTTGCATGCCCGTCTCCGCGCTTGTCTGTCGTTCTGGCTTGCAGCACCACTCCGCAGCAATTTTTCAAGTTAGAAAGGGCCTTTTATCCATGGGAAATTAAGTTAGTTTGCTTTCTAGGTGGCTGACAAAGGCAGGGTCGAGTTATTGCTGGTCTGTGCTTTTCTCCTTTCAGGGTTGTAGATAGTGTTGGTGCTTATATGAGTCACGTAGTGGAGATAAAATGGGCTTCATTGGGATTTATTAACTTTGTTGTGTCTGAATGGCCCAGTCCTGGGGCGACCGGGAGGGGAAGCCACCACGTCCCCGTCGTGATGTCACCCACTGGCTTACGCTTTCTGCTCAGCGCAGTCTGGAGACTCAAATAGGGATCTTAAGCTTTATATATGTGTGTGGTAAAAATCCCCAGCCTCCTCGTTCAAATAGCGTTAAACCCCTTGCCGTATAAATTCTTATTTTGAAAGCAGATCTGGCCAGTGAGCGATTGCAAATTGCCAGAAGTGGGGCGGAGGAGCAGACGGGTAAAAGCGACGACTTTTAACTCGTTATTTGCGGTATCAAAGGCAAGCGGAGTACGTGTGAACAGCAGCGCCGCAGCGTTAGCCGGGAAGCGTGTTTGTCTCTACAGGAACGTAAATGCTCTCAAGAAGGACCCGAGGACCTTGAGAGGACCCCGGGCTGGCCAACCTGCACAGTCACCTACAGCGTTCGGGGCAAGCGAAATATCTGACTGCGGTCCCGCTGATCCGACGAGCACCGTGCCTTCCCGCCCCGTGTGAGCTCTGGCAGAGCATCAGTTTTTTGGGAGGACGATGGCTGCAGGCAGGCGTTCAGGGTGTCCCTTGGGCTGCCGTCGCTGCACAGCGCCCAGCCCTGGTTCTTGCAGCTTGCGACGTATCAGCCGCTAATATAAAGCAGTCAAAGCTGGATAAACCGAGACAGCAATCATAGCCAGGAAAGGGCAATTTTAAAGGCTAATCCCTCATGGCTTTCCAAAGCAGAAAAAACACTTTAAGGGGCTATAAAAATGTTTCCAGGACTAGTAGATGTTTACCACAAATGATTCTTGGTCACTAGTTAGCGAAGAACGTTGCTGGCGTCTGCTGTTCATGGATAATGTGTTTAAAATCCTTCAACCCAAATACTTCCACTATACAGTAATGAGCGGCACCTTTTTTAATGAAGTCGCTGTAGAGATTATTACATAAATACATAATTACAGCTAGGTTTTAAGAAACCAAACAAAAACATATAGTATTTGCATCACAGAGTACTAAGTGTGCTTGTTGAGTCTCTTCATTTCATTTTGAAGACTCCAGATATTAAAACTGGCAGTTAGGAAAAGCTCCTGTCACTTTAGCAGATGATGGCTGATTAGTTAGTAAGAGAAATAAATCCATAAGAGTAAAATAGCTTCTTTGGAGGATTAGACTAAGCACAGCAGAGCTACATCAGCACGAGAGAACCCCCCAAAAAGGGGAGGAATAAATACGAGAGCTAACGGGGGGCCTTGTTAGTCTGGGACTGCCGTGCCTGCTGCTCGCTGGTGCTCTCGTGTCACCCCCCGCTCTTCAGGAGTGGACCTTCGGCTTGGTGCTCCATCGCGTGCGGATGCAAAGAATAATGTTTGGACGTGGTTATTAAGTGGCACGGGGACAACACTTCTACCTTTGTGGTTTTTTTTGTAGAGAATGACATGGTTATTCAAATGCTGTAATGTTTCTGGAGCTAATATAAAACTGTTGAGGGGGAAAATGAGGAACAGTGGTGGTCTCCGAGGTCCAGATACCTCTATAACTCTTTACCAGTCTACAATAGGCCAGATTCTCATTCACAGAAAACTGGGGTTTTTTGTGTGTCTGCCAGTGTGAAGAAGTTTTAAAATGGGTTAATGGATGGAAATTGCTTCTGCATAACTTATATTTATGCCCACTGTAAAGCCACAGTCCACACTAAGTCTGACTGAGAAACTGGCCTAACAGTGTCCTGTAAAACGTGCATGAATTAAGCTAGCAATTAAGGTACCTTGAATATTGACATCTTATTCTTCTAACTGATTTATTTTATTTGCCTTTTTTAAATTTATTTTTTTATTTTTCTATTTCCTTTCAAGTCCCTGTCTCCCATTTTCTGGAGAGCTGGATGCTAGGGCTGACCACGGCACACCTCTCGGGACGTGGCAGATGATTTCTGCTTGTGCTGGTGGAGCTGTGTGCTGGAGCCTTGGCATGCCATTTCCAGACCCGTCTGTAACTCCATGCATCTGTCTCGTGCGTCTGTCTTTCCCCACACACCCGTAGCAGTTCCAGTTAGCAGCAAATTTAACTACACGGGTGTGAAAGGGGCCGTCTGACTCATCAGCTGAGATGCTGCTGCTGCTGCAAGCATCCGTGCCTATAGAGCCAAGGGGAAGCCATGGCGGTGGGCATGGTGCTGGGGAAGGGTGGAGCAGGACAGACAGACACCCTTGGTGTCACTTTGGCCACCGAGGAGCTGGCAACAGAGAACTTTGCATTTTCTGTACTGTTTTTTAGATAAAAAAGGAAATGCCAATTCCAGGACTGTGTTTGGCCTGTACATGTGAAGGTGCATGGAAAAAAAATTCAGTTGTAAAAGAGGAAAGAAATGTCTGCTCTCTGTCTTGCAGAGCTCTCGCCCGGGGCTGATGGGCCACAGGGCAGACTTTTTGGTTCATTTTTTCCTTCTGACCATGATGAATTACTTTTTTTACAGCAAGCAGCAAGATAATAACAGGAACAACTTTTGGTGTTCAGACAGTACGTTTTGGTAACTGGGCAGCAGCGTACTATTCATTATGAAATAACTTTCAGATAATGTAGTCAAAATTGCATCCTGACCTAATAAAGGAGGGTTTCAAATGTCACTTATAAAATGCGAAATTTCAGGAGGAAATTGTTATGAGATCTTTCCTCAAGGGAAGAGGCAGAATAGTTTAAAATTCTTCCAAGATACAAATAGTATCAGAACTTTTGGTAATGCTCTTAACAGGTTTGGACATAGCATACTCCTCGCAGAACAACTCGTATTTCACAGCAGCTTTTGTAGGATAAATTTCAAGTTGGCCGTGCAACTGGTAAAAAAGCAAGCAAAAATCAAGCAGCTCTCCGAATACAAACCTTACAGACCTTACGTTTGTCTTTAAAATCTTTAATTCGATTCTGAATGTGGTTGATTCTGGCTTGCAGATCAAGTGTCCCCCTGTAAGGTGAGGTGTTGGGAAACCTTCGGTGAGAAGCGAGTCTCAAAAGCAGGTGGGAATCCCTCGGCACTGGACTAGCAGCAGGTGAGATGGGGAGGGGAGATCAGGCGCGCTGCTGGTGCGCGGCAGAAAGCAGGAAAGCAGGCATGGGTAATGAGATGGTTTACGTGGGTAAAACCCCATCACGGACAAGCTGCCTTTCTCCATGTCCCGAGGTTGGGAAGACTCCAGCCGTAGTGAGGAGGAGAGGCACATGGTGGTTCCCAGGCTTTCCCAGCGGGACAGGGATGGGCTTCTGGTCTATAATTTGCCCATGGTGGTGTAACGGTGGTCTCGGTAGCATTTGCTGGCTTGCTTCCCACCGTGCTGGAGATGCCTCAGCTCTGCCCTCGAGTGACACAGGTGCTGAGGGAAACCCTCCGAATCGCTGGGAGCTGTGGGTGGCTGGGACGACCTCAACCACCGACGTGCTCCCCATGCAAGCGGTGCTGGCAGTAGTGTGGGGAGCTGACCCCAAGGCACGATGAACACGGTGGTGCTCAAGCGTTGTGTTGGCTTGGAAGCGGGATGCTGCTGTGATTGGGTGTATTTGCGTAGAATAAATGTACGGTGGCCGGGCAGGGCTGGTAACGAAGTCTGCATCGTTATCACCAGGAGAGCTGGCCGGGCTTGTGCATGCTTTGTAATGGAAATAAAGACTGAGTGCTGGTCATCGTTGGCATATGGGGCTCCACCAAGAGGAGCTGAACCTGCCATGGCCCGAATACTGTGGGACCGTGGCCCAAATACTGTGGGATCGCTTTGTGCCGGTGGCAGGGGAGGCTTTGCCTGTCCCATGTGGCACTCTGCCCTCCCTGTAAACGGGAACCTGCAGTCAGAGTTGGGCCGGGACCTGGTGGGCCGCTTGCACAGACAAATCCAATTGACTGTCGTGGAGTTAAAATAGTACTTGTTTATTGCTAACATGCTACTCTTGCATTCATTTTTCTGGAGGCTGAAGAATGAAATGATGTGACTTCTGCCATGAACAGCCCGTGCAGCGTGTTTATAGGCTTGTTCCAAATGATGAAAAAGGTGTCTCAGGTTTTGTGGTGGTGGCTTTCAATCAAACACGGACAGGCATCCGCTCTCCTCACGCTTCTCTCTTCTCTCAGTACTCCTGGCTAGCAGAAACCCTGTCATTTCAGATGTGTGTGTTTGTATGCGTAACTAAAATTCAAAATTGTCATTGAATATGTAAGGTATATTTTTGTGCGTCCTATATAAATATCAAATTTCAGAATATCAAGATACATGTAAATATATTTTATTTGCATGCATATTGTTTATGCATGGATTATATACTTAGGAATATAAGGTTTGTACATATAAAACTATATTGTAAATATATACTGTTTAAATATATATGTGTGTGCATGCATTTTATATATATAATAAGTAAATATAGAAGATGTTATAAAATGGCTGATGTTTATTCTTGTGTCCTTTGCAGGAAAGATTCCAAGTGAAGAATCCTCCACATACGTACATCCAGAAGTTGAAGGGCTATCTGGACCCGGCTGTAACCAGGAAGGTGAGGAGCGTCCTGTTTCCTCCGGCCCGTCCCTCGATCCTCGGCGAGGATGGTCCCGGGGTCCGGGTTCCTTCCTGCCTTTGTGTAAAAGGCCCCGTAAAAGTCTCCGAGAAGGGTCTCGGAGACGGAACAAGCTGCAGAGAGAAGCAAAGAGAAATTGGAAAGACACTGCACTTTTTGCAGCTCAGAAAGGAGAACAGATGTTGCAAAGAAAAGGACCATCTGACACATGAAGCAACTTGTTTTAATAACTTTAGCTTCAATAAATAGTCTGACAAATTATCACTCAGCTGTACTCTAGGTCTGACTTTTCGTGTGGGCAGTGCTGGTGGTGAATAAAACCTCTGTCGGATGGCACTGTTCTCACCCATGTGAAGGGGATGTTGAAGTTTTCAGTCCTCTTCTCCGGGTGTTTGTGCGACAGAAGTTCAGCACAGCTGGCACAGCTCACCTCCCGCTCGCAGTCTGTCCGAGGTTTCAGGGTTGTGAAGTTAAGACGTAACCTGGGCTGTATTTACATGGCAGAGCCTCATCCATCCTTCTGCGTATTATTTTGTCCAAAATAGTTTGATAATCACTTGTGAAAGACTCAGGCACGCCCCTCGGCCTTTCATGTGAACGTTGTGCATCCCTGAATGTGGCTTCTGTACTGGGATGTATTCGTGGCTGGTTCTGATATTCCTGCATCGCTGTGATGGGCTTAGTAATAGCCTGCAGGACTTTAGCACAGCAGTAAACCTACATCCCATTTAGAGGACCATTGCTGAACCTTTGGTATTTAACCACTTTGGATATCAGCTCATATCCTGTGTTGATAGTTTTAATAGCCTTTAAAAAAAAAAAACAACAACCAAAAAAAGGCAGCGAGAGCATAGCAGATCCTGCCATTGACTGGCTCTGCCTTGTCCCCAACAATCGCTGCTTTGTGTTGCCGTACAATTAGCTGAGGTTGGTGCCTTGCAGTAAAATACGTATCCTGACACAGGGCTTCCAGGCCGGGGCCGGCTCCGGCCGCCGTGGAGGCGCACCTCCGTCCCTGCGAGAGGTGAGGGGCGAACACTGGGCGCCCTGTGCTTCCAGCACCCCGTCGCTAGCTCCTCTCTTCAAGGCTGCAGTAATGCCTCCTGACAGTGCTTCTCTTGTTGGAGGCTCTAACAAGGAGTAGGAAACCATTTAGTAGGAAACGTTTAAATTTGCCTGTAGCTGATTATGGTTTTTTTTTAAAAAAAATGGTGAACAGGGGTCTTTGTTTTTCTCCTGAAGGGTTTTTGAAATTCGTTTAGTGTTTGGCTTTGCTCTGTGGTTACTCCACGGGCACACATTGAAGCCTTTCTTATCCTAATACCATTGTAAGAGTCCCATGGCAAATGACAAAACCGAAGGAGCCTAAAAATAACTCCATTGAGTTCCTCTCTTCTGTTGTGTTATTCTGTGTCACCAGCAGCCTTTCCTCAGCCTGGGCTGCCAGCGGAAAGATTTACAAATGGGCTTCTGGACGGACGCGCGATATTGCGGGGAGAGCTGGTATGACCAGGATTATTGCTGTAATTGAGGCGGCGTCGGCGTTTTTGCTGATCGTCCCCAGCGTGGCCAAGAGAAAGTGGCTCCAAACGCAAAATGTTGCGTTTTGGCTTGTGATTGCGGGCATAATGGCTCTTCCCGGGAAAACAATTGCTTTTCGTCTGAGCTGGATTTTGAAACAGGAAAGTGAAAGTGTTGAAATTACACATTTTTAAAGAAATTGCAGTTTGGGGGCTCCTAGAGCCCAGTAAAGCACAGAGCCGGTTCGTTGCTCTGCGCCGTGGTTGCAAAGAGCAGCCCGGCCTCGCTGGGGGATGACGGTCCCACGTGGGAACGTGCTGCCTGCTTCTGCCGTGCCCTCCCACCTCTGTCTCCTGCCTGCCTCTTGCTACGTCAAGATTTTACCTTTACTTTTAGAGAGCTAAGGTTTTATATTGCTTGTAGTTATATTGTGTAAACTCTCTCGGGAGAGAAGGCACTGCGTTGTTGTACTCTGAGCTAATTAACTGAGGTCCAGAGAAGTTGTATGTCTGATCTCAACTAGCTGTTTCAAAGTAAAAATTAATAGTGCCTCGTGCCTACTAGGACTTTACGACGAGACGTCTATTTCAGCCTGCCAGTGGCTTTCTGAGCTGGGATTTAGTCCTACGTCAGGTAAGCCAGTGGTGCTAACTAGTCGGGGGTAAAACCCTCGTGAAAAAGGCAGCTGATAATTTTCACCTAGGTCAGCAAGGCAAGGTAAATCCTATCCTTTCATCGTCTTCACCTCAATAAATGAACTCATGAGAATTATTAACTGCCAAGTCGTCCCTTGAGTTTATTGTGGGTTTATTGTGGTGCACCAAGAACAACCCCTTTTTTCCCTAGTATGCAGAGCATAGTCCCACTTGCAGCAGCATCGCTTGTGTCCTAAGCATTTGTAAGCCCTTTCCAAACACCTCAAGTCTGTGTGTGTGATAACTGATGGCCAAGCTGGTTGTTAAGTACTGCAATTCCAAGATGATTGTCATTGTCCATCCACTTCTGCTCTCATTTAGCTTGTTCACGGATGAAAATTCACCAAAACAGCTGCTCCAGAGTATTTTATCCAGCTGTTTTAGTAGATTTCCATGGGCAAGGAGCCCCAGGCAGGAGAGAAGACGGCAGTCTTCCTCCAGCTGGGAGAGGAGGAGGCATCGCTGGCTCGCTCTGGCCGCACACCGACGGTAGCCCTGCTGCGAGCTGGTTTTGCAGAGGATGGAGAGGAGCTGCTGGCCTCGACTCGAGACGAGTCGGTGTGCGCTTAGAGGTCTTCTGCCACGACCGGTGCCTGCTTTGAGCTGTGGAGTGAAGTGGGGCTCTCGCTGCGTCCCAGTGAGGTTTTCCCAGGTCGCCCTTTCTGCTCCCATACGGAGGTGGCACAGAACCTCATCTCCTTTCTGCTGCGTTGCTGCCCAGTGTTTTACTTCTGACATTTTATGGCCTTTTCCCAGCATCTAATTTTGCAGCTACAATTTAGCGTGCACGAATTATTAAAGCACGCAGATGGCAGCACATATGTGTTTCATTATTGGCTCGCACCCACAGGTTTGGTAATTATATAGAAACCACGGCAGGTTTTTTGGTGTGGGTGTAAAGTCGCAAAAGCAAGATGAAAGCACCAGGCTAAGAATGAAGCCCAAACACTGTAGTTCTCAATGGAGAGTTTGATACTAAAACAAAGCTTGTATTGTAAGGAAATGTTTATTTATCTACAGGCTTTTACTTTTCTTAATCCTAGAAACTCAAAAATGTGCCTGGGAACAGAAGTTATTTTTCTGCATATGTTTTTGTTGACTGCTGGACTATTGTTGTTGCATTCCTCAGGATTTAGAGGGGTTCTCAGTTTACCTTAATGTTTTATTTATTCAGTCTGCGCTGCGTGAGATGTTGGTATTTTTAATAGCATCACATGAGTCTAATTGTTACTTTTGCCTGCTGACTCAATTACAGAAATTCAGAAGACGAGTCCAAGAGTCTACTCAAGTACTCCGCGAACTGGAAATTTCTTTAAGAACAAATCACATTGGGTAAGAATTTTTTACAACCTCTGCTCTAAGACTTTTTTTCTTTTACATCTACTGATGGATGCCTTTGAGAAAATATCTCTTTGCATGTCAAACAGTGATACCACTTGATTGATCGTTGAAGCCTGAAGGGCTCAGTTAAGGGATAGCTGGGCATCTCAGGAGAATAATTCAGCTTTAATCCTTTCATGATAGGGTTCATCCACATCTCTGTGAAGGCTGCGAAAAGATTGCAGTCAACTTCTGCTCACCCTGAGTCAGTCAGAGCAGCAGTGAGCATGAGTGTGTCTAGAATAGTAATAGTATTGCAGCTATAAATACATATATATAAAACCCCCATGCTGTTTTATAGCTTTAACATGATGCAGTTCATGAAGCCTGGCTCTGAGTAATATTCCCAGTATTTTACTCCTACAAAGCACAAAATTCTTCTCAAATAGCAGAAGTAAAAGAAGTGCAGAGACTTCAGTTCTTTATCGAACGTGCCATTGCCATCTGTGTTTCTGCCAGTCTCGCCTCTCTGCTTTGGGTCTGGGGAGCAGAAGCCGGTTCAG